GCCTAAAAAGCCCGCGAAAAGAATGCCCGAGCGATCCCCACCAGTAAGCATCTGACGAAGACCCCACCATTCAATCTCAACCACGTTGTCAAGGAGCCCACGACGCGGGACCCCACCACGCTGGATCGGATCGATCACTGACGGTGCAGCCCGCCAGAGGCCAATGGAGAAGGCGTCACTCAGGAGCTTCGCATCGGTATTCGCAAGCGTGAGTGGGCGAGTCTTACCAGGCGACCGAACAAGGACAGCGGGGTTCTCGTCGTATTTGAAGTCTTTGGGCAGGAAACACATCCTTCCTCGACGCATGCACGCCGAAACAATACCCCCAGACGCCTGGTACATCTCATCATAAACAACAAATAAAACATCAGCGGCCCCCTCAGCTTTCCAGCACCCATACGGAATGCCATCCTCCCCAGGGGCAGAGTGATGCTTAAATCGGGCTCGCTCAATAAAACCGTCAACGTCCAACTTCCAATGTAATGGGTCCAACTGGATCGGCTGGGCATGAGCTGGGATTTCAAGCCACAGGGTCCGATCAGGTTCCTTCGCGGCAAAGACCGCCTGCCAATGGTCCCGAAGGGCCTCAGCAGAGGCCGTCGGAGAAGGGCACACCTGCCCAGAACTGTCCAGGACCCCAGAGAGCCCATGGCGCCGACGCATCTTCGACCAAGCTCGACGGAGGTGTTGCAAGCGGGCCATGGCCTTAACCTTAGACTTCTCGTCATCCTCCCACCCGTCCATCGCCCGTTCCTCCGACTGATACCAAGCATCCTTCAGAGACTGCACCAATGCACCCAAGCCGACTATATCCTAGCATCTCTCACGGTCTGGATCAAAGTACTGAAGCAACCGAGGATACGCACGTATCGCACGCACACACTGGTCAAACCTGCCCATACGCCACCCACGGAAGGCCATCATAGCAAAGCGGAGCTTCTCTCAATTCTCTTTCGGGGGCTTCAACCGAAGCCGAGCCTTGAACAGAGGGGCCATCTACCAGAATATCTCCTGCACCCGAGCAAGTTTCTCCCGAGGGGTCAAATCCTGGTCGATTTCCCTAATAGCCCTGGCACACAACTCATGGTCAGCTCCATGTCGGGAAATCCACTTAGGAATCTGGGTGGGCAATGCTGATGGCATTCTCAAAGCGACAGCGGTCACAACAAGGATGTGGTCAGACGAGGCGAAGGTCTTCACGGCACGCCCCAGGGCATTTACCGTCACCGCCAAATCATTCAAGACAGGGGCCGAGAGAGATGTGTAGATGCGGTCCAGACGGGCAACCCCACGGACTTCTCCCTGGAACACATCACGCCGTGTCGGATCTGGTTGGACAAGCTCAGCCCAAGACCCACAAATAGACTGAAAGGCATCAGTGTGTTCCCTATCCCCTGCTAACCACGTGCCGCCAGTCCGAAACCGCCCCTCCTCCACCTCCATAAAGCTCCAATCCCCAGCAATCAAGCACATAGTGTGCGCAGCCAATGGAAGGAACGCCTGAATCACACACAGGTACCTGCGATACATCGCAACTGGATCAGAAGTATTCGGCATGTGCACATTGACAATCACTAGGTCCCCACGACGCCCCTTCAGGTGCGAGGCGAGAACACGGCCAGCAATCAACGGAATCGGAGCGATCGATTCGAACTGCGAAGCCAGCTTGCTCGATATGACTGTAACCACAACGCCCCAGCCCTCGGATCGATCATCGAATGGTGAACAATTGCACTGCGACAACGGTCATCACGCTGGAACATCTCCACATCAGACGCCGCGCCATGAGTCTCCTGTAAACACACAGCGTCAAACCTGCCAACAAGACCATACATCTGCTTATAACGCCGAGCTGCCAGTGGAGACGAAGTAGGAGTACGATGAGAAGAGAGCACGTGTATTCCAAGAGCACAAGGCAAGCGCAGAAGTGGGAGCAAACACCCCGTTCGCTCCAGAGGACGGGTCACCAGGGGTAAACGGTCCTCCTGAATTCAGATTGAAACACTGGTTGGCTGGCTGAGCACTGCCCCGGCTAGTCGGCACACGGGTCCGATGGTTCCCCCCGACAGGCCCACCATCCCAGGGAGGGCCCGAACCACCAGGGACCCGACAAAAAAAGCCAGGCAGCGCACTAGGAATCCCGAGGCAGGGTGCTCCAGGACAACTGTGGGCCTCACACAAAGGGCCGAATCTGATCAAAAAAGGTCGCAATGCAGCCAGCGCACTCACCTACTCCGAACGTTCCGAGGGCCTCAGGAATCAGAACGAGTTCGGGGCGACCGCACTCAAGGACAGTGACCTTCGCAAGTATGACTGGGTGGGTAGCCGTAATGAGACCGCTTATCTGACCGCCGAGACCGTTGCTGCCCACCTGGAAACCTTTCCCCCCCAAGACCTTCCTGATGATCGCACGAGTCTGCCCCAGGTAGTAGAACAACTTACGGCTAGCGGGGGGCAAGTCACGACGCACGCGGAGCTCCCAGCCCTGGTTATCAATCGGGCTCTGGTATACAGTCTTACCAATGGTCTGGCTCTTACCGAAGAACGCCGCGCACGACAGAGTACTGGGGAAGTCAAGGATCACCTTCCGCGTGAGGGAGTATGCTCGAACGATCGGTCCTTCACCAGCTGGACTACACGCGGCGACAATCGGGGCCACCGCTTCCTTGAGAGACGCTTCCAGCAGGGGCTTCTCAAAACCTAGAACAATGAGACGAGTAGCACTGGCTTGGTCGGGGCCCGACGTCCTCAACATCTTCCGACGCCCTCCTTCCCCATCACCTCCCACGAGCTCGAACTCCGAATCGGCACGAGTCGACGAACCTGCCGAGAGCTTCTGATGTAACTCATGCATCTGAACGTCGATATTTGCCACTACTGCCGCCAACTTCGCATCTGTGTCAACCGAGACCTGGTGGATCGCTGCGTCCTGGGATTTCTTCATCTCTGCCCAACGAGCCTCCGATCGACGATTCATCTCCGCGAACTCCTCCTGCATTCGATCGAAGTTGGTCCCCATCACTGACATCTGCTGGCGAAACAACTCAAACTCTGCTGTGTGCGAGGTAAACCCTTCTTTCACAATCGCCGTCAAGGCGCTGAGCTGCACGGGCACCTCCGACTGCACCTCGGGCACGGGCGGCAGCGCACTCCCTCCCACGGCCCCCGCAGGGGCGAGAGGGGGGGTCTGTCCAGGCAGCGCAGGCAGGCCGTTCACGGATCCTGCAACACGAGCGGCCTCAGCCATGGCTGGAGCGGGAAGGACAGAGGGCGGGCGGCCGACGGCCGAGGCGCGCCCGGCCCGAGGGAGAGGGAGCAGGAAGACCCGAGGAGCGGGTCGGGGGGAGCCAGGCCGAGCGGGTCGCGCAGACCACCCTTAGCCGATACGGCTTGAGCCAAAATGGCTTGGGCCAAAATGGCTACGGAGGAGGAGGAGGAGTATAATCGAGGAGGAGAATCGAGAAGGTTCCCTTTCTTCATGTAAATCCGCCACCGCGCCGGCAGGCGCGGAGTGGGTGTGTCCTCTGGTCTTTTGCCCAATACTCGAAGCCTTCATCGTTACTCCTGCTGGCTCTTAAAGTGGCCCGGAGCCCAAATGGCAAAATGTGTCGGGGTTTCTCGCGCCTTGTCGCGGTTTCTCGCGCTACTTTGTCGGAACCGAAGGTGCCCCAACACAAGCCAAAAGGGCCCCGAGAGACCCATCCAACGGTCCGCGGGGGCAACGAGTCGCCCAACGCTCGATCCCAAACGCGCGAAACGGCCCCCAGACGGCCCGAGAGGGTCCAGGACGCCACAACAGGCCCCAAAGAGGCCTCCAGAGAGGGCACCTCCTTCTTTTTCCTTTGAAGTGTTTTGCCAGTTCTCCGTCAGGAGGGAAACTTTCGCAACCCGACTAAGCGGCAAAGCATATTCGTGCTCTTATTGGTGATCTTGTTCCAATAATAGTTTCGTGCTCAGATCCAAACGACTTCTTCGGCATGTACTGCTTCCAGCAATTGCTCAAAATGATGCGCCGCTAATATGACAAAAATCACGTTGCTCAAATGAGGGCCAGCCGGGGTGGCGCCCGCGAGGGCGCGCGAGCGGCGGCGGGCGGGCCTCTCTTTTTTCGCTCGCGACCGAAGCCGAAGCAGCTTCGATAAGTCAGCGATGTCTGGCGGCGGCGGGGCATCCATGCTGAGGCAACGCAGGGGCGACTAAATCAACTCCCCCCGCGGCCCCCCTGGCGAGCCCCGCCCGCGCGGGTGGGCGCAAACAAGTTGTCAACGCCCCGAATCGTGCTTATATGTAGCGGCCCGTCGCGCCGCGCCCGGCAGGCAGCTCGCCCGCTACCTGCTTCGCAGCGCTCCGAGGCTCTCGGCGCATAGCGCCGATGCGTCGATGGGGGCCCTCGCAGCGTAGCTGCGAACGCCCCTCGTTTTCACCCACTCAACCCCAACTGTGGTCGCCGCGGCCCCAGCTGCTGCAGCCTTGCCAATTGCCTGAGCCCCAACCCAAAACGACCGCCAATTGTCGGCGTTCTCGCGCCACGGGGGAATGGAATCTGCATTCGGCCGCTCATTGTCGGCGTTATCGCCCCCCGGCGGGGCGAGGTCCACGCGCTGCCGCGATGCGTCGGCAGGTGCACGCCACGCCGGAGCGCCATTCGCGCTCAGCCGCGAAGCTCTCGCGGCCGGCGGCCCGGGCGCCCTGGCAGAGCTCGACGAGGCAGCGCCCGAACGCGGGTGCAAGGCCCAATGCGTCGGTAATTTCTGCTCGGCGACGTCGAGATTCCTGTCGGCGATCTGGCGCGCGACTGCTCCGCCTTTTAGCTCTTTTACCGTCATTCTCGGCCACCTCGCCCTTGCCCTTGACATTGTCTGTCGCTATTGCTGCCTCGGGGCGGCCCTCGGGCCGCGTAGAGCAAGGCCTCTTCCCTCCTTTGGCTGACTGCGCTCTAGGGGGGGCGCCCGCGCTGGCGCAACCCCGGGCGGTCGGGGCTGGAGCTCCCTGGAATTATCCTGCAGCCCCCGTTCCACTGCAGCTTTCAAATTATTGGGCGGCAGGATCTCGGCGCTCCGCTTGGACTCGAGGCCCCATTCAGACCAGCCCAAGCTGGGCTCGTCGCGGTCGCAGCCCCACGGGATAGCGCACCCCCAGTCGAACGGTTCGATGATGGCACAGGCCTCCTCTTCCATAATACCCGTGTTAATGCACGGCCACCATGTCCTTGGAGGAACAACAGGGTTGCTGCCAGTAGCGGGCGTCTTCATATGTAAGTTTTGATACATGATCCACCTTTGCCCCAGCTTCTTAGCCTTTCCCATCGTGCAGGGGTTCTCTATCTCACGCAGCCCGTCGTCCGCGGACTCTCTCTGGTTGCCGGGCGAAGACTGCCACGCTGTTGCTGTGGAATGCGGTCTTGCCCTGCGGACCACTCGGCGGTCGGCGACGCCGTCTTCGCGGGTGTCTTTCCATTTGTTCTGCGAACGTACTTGCGCGCGGTCTGCGCCACGACCCCTCAATCTCCCCCGCGCGCTCTGCGCTTCGGGGCCGGAGGCGCAGCCCCGGCAACCCTCCCGCATGGCCACGCCAATGTCTCGGATATTGATATGGGGCCAAGTCGCGTCGGTGGCTGCGACAGCGGCGCCGCGCTGGACAGGCGCTCCGCATGCGAGGCAGCTCAATATACCCAACCGATCGCGGCTAACGCTGCCGCGCAGGCGGTAGCCCTCCTCCGAGCCCAGCGGCGCGCAGAATGCGTTGTTCTTCTCGACGGGGGCGAGCGCATCATCCTCATCGACGCCAAATGTTCGAACGATTTCCTGGCGTGCCTTGATCCAGCCCACGCATGCCCCGTCGAAGTCAAGGAAAATTCTGAGCCCATGACACCGTCGGCCATAGACCGAGGCCCACGAAATGCGAGCCCGTTGCACCCCGAACACGGCAAGACGCAGGATCTGACGAATGTCGCTCCGCTAAGGCCGGAACGCAGTTGGCATGGAGCCATCGCGTTGAACACAAACATCTGGCGCCTCGAAGATACGGGGGTCGAAAGCGCGCGCGACGGCTCCGAGAGAGGATATGGATCTTCCACTTCGAAAGCTTGGCCGGCCGCTGCGCGCGCCCAGCCGCCAGGCCCAAGCCGCGTCTCGGGTTCGCCTGGGGGGGCAGCTCTGGAGGAAGCACCGAAATCGCCGTCAGGAGGGCCGCGCAGGGGGGGTCGCCAACTCGCTCCTGACGGGCAGGGTCCTGCGGTCAACTCGGAGTCCCCGCGCGCCTCTCACAAGCAAAGGCGGCCTAGCGAGACCGCGCCGCCGAATTGCATCAAGCGCGCGACTTTCGCAGCCCAATCCGCAGACGTTCGTTCGACGCGCTAGCAGGAGGGGGGGGGGGGGGCACGCGAAGCGAGTTCAGGGCACATGAGACCGAGAGGAATGCAGACACAAAAGATGCGAGCATATCCGGCCCGTCTGCGAGTCGGCGGACCCTTCCAGGGGGAGGGGGCGCATGGGGAAAGGGCTCGTAAGAGGACGGAGGAGGGGGGAAGGAGGAGGCAAATCAAGTGAAGGCGGAGGACGACGAGGGGCACGAGGAGAAGGAGGACGGAGAGGACGACGAAGCTCATGAGGGGAAGGAGGATCACTCCGCATCAACACGTACACACTGATCGCTGCATTGGGAGCGCTGGCCAAGACGCATGTCAAAACATGGCCTTCACACGCTGGCGCCCGCCCTGCAAATCTACACAAATCAAGCCATGGATCAAGAACCGCAGCGATACCATGTCAATGGCGGCGACGACAACACCGAGAGCACGCGAGCTGTGAGAGCCCACGACACACAATGATGTGAAGTTCACGGGTCGACGCTGGACAATTCTGAGAGCTGCCAAGAGCGCATATCAGAGCAGGTGTCGTTTCCACCTCGATCCACAAACTGGCGCAATTCCGAGTTTTCCAGCCCGATCTGAAAACTGATGCATTACATGCCCTGAGCTAAAGACAGCAACAACACAATGCATCGGGCCCTACCTGAAACAGCGATTGCACATACACGACTTATGTCAAACAAGGCTGCGTGTCAATGTGCTGCACGTGCCCCTGCATATTCTAAGTTCGGGGTTCGTGGGATTTGAACGCGGTGCGCGTTGCAACCACCCCCATAGAACTCAAAGCTCAAGTGCGCTTGGCGCGCTTGAAACCCTGCGATGGCTGGACACTGGGAGCTTTACTATTCCGACAAGTGCTGCAGATCGACTCGCTGCCAGGCTGAGTATTCCTCGGGGCCGGCGCGATGAAATCCTCACGCGGCGACCCCTCCTACTGAACGAGGGCCCTCGACTCTTCGAGGCGAAGCTCGCGACCGACGCAGAGGGGGAAGCTCCAGACGCTTTGACAGGCGACGAACTTGGACCCGCAGCGTGGGCCTGTAAATCGTGAAACTGCTGCCAAAACGCACGCGGCAGCGCGGGGCGGGGAACCTGCCGCTCGGCTAGGAAGGCCTAGGCCTTGTCTGGCCCCTCGGGGCGGTGGCGAAATATAAACGGCAACTCCACGCCCTGAATGATCGCGCTTGCCTCCGCGGCCTTCCCCATTGTCGCCTGGGCCACGGCGACAGCCTCACCGGTGAGACAGTTATCTTGGACGCGCGGGCTGATGGCAATCAAGCCAGCCGCGTCGGCGAAGTCCTTCAAGGCATCGCCCAGGGGAGACCAGCGGCTGCAACTTGTTCTTGAGCATCTGAGCGGCCATGGCCTCGTTGAAGTTGTCGTCGGAGATGCATGCTGGCCAGAAAGGCGTGGTTTTGGCCGTGGCTTCGGCATGCCTTGTCGGGATTGCGGCCATCGCCCTGAGGAATATCCCGTCGCACTTTTCGCCTAAAGCACCTGCAAGCAAGCGCAAGTTGCGGATCGCGGCGTGGGCTCGCCGAGCTGCCACCCCTCATTCTCGAAGTCCGCGGCGACGCGGTCGTTGATGATGCCGCCCAGCTTCGTCAAAGCTCCATGAAGGACTTGCACGATGTACGCGGCACCCGAGCAGATGATTATCTTGTTGAACATGTTGTTCCCACTGGATCCGTTTTGACGATGTTGACGTCTGCGGCGGCCACACTTGCAACCACCTCGGCGACTGCGCAGTTGAGGCTCAAGATGAACATGGTGTCTTCGACGCAGGCTTTCGTGATGTTCGGATCGGCGTTCGTCGCGCCTGGCACCTCCAAGTGGGCAAGGACGACGGCAATGGTGAACCTATCCAGGTGGTCGTAGGCCATGTTGTGGTGCAGCGGAGACCACGTCGCGAGGTCGCCTCGGCCCTTCGCGAAGTCGATCGACGTGACCGCCACGATGTCCTTGGAATCAGCTTTGGGCACAACGTGGGAGTGCGTGCAGACAGCCTCGCAGTCCTTAATACAGTCGCCGTGAACGATGCCCAAGCGCACATCGGTCTCACAAATGTGTTCCATCTTACTCTTCAAAGAAAGCACTAGTCTTCAAGTCGCACATGCGCTGCCCGACGCGATTGCAAAACTGCCCGAATATCTTCGCCACATCATCGCCGTTGTCAAGCAGCTGGGTTACCGCGGCGACGTTCAGGAAGAACGGTTTGACACAAGTATGCTCATGATGAATCCTACTGAAATTGGGAAGTGCATATCGTCGGCCTTCGGCGCGCTCTCCGACACCCCCTCGCCGTCCAACCATCGGTCTGGATCAGCGAGCAAGTAGAGGTCCTGCAGGTATGAAATCATCTTGTCAATGACCGAAACGTTGTGGCTGAAGTTCTTCAGTACGGACTCGCCCGACGATTCCTTGTCGAACTTCAGATGCCGCGTGGAGCCCACCCTGGACGCAGCGACACGGTAAAGCTTCTGGGCGTTCAGCGCGAGTTGCAGCATGCAGTCGACGAGCGCCTTCAAGCGCGGCCTCATGGCACGCACTTTGGTGTCGATCTCGCGGACGTACGCAGAAAAGGTGGTTCTTCAATGCGAAAATCGCCATGGCCTCGGGATTCTCACCGTCTGTCTTGGCCGACTGGCCTTGGACGGCCTCGGCGCGGGCCCCCTTCTCTCCGGCAGACACGACGTCCGCTTTGGAGGCCTCGACGGCGTTCATCAGGAGGTCGCCGACCCATCCTTTCACAGTGTCAGTGTAAACGAAATTCCCCGTGCGCAGTAGCATGTACATGTTGGATATCGTGTTCGCCTACGGTCCAAACTCACAAGGCCACGTAAAAGCCGCCGACCCCTTGTGGGTTTCCAGGCGCGTGAGATTGTTTCCCCCCATAACCCCCCCCAAGGGCCCCAAACTGGAGATTTGACCCCCCCCCCCGGCCCCCTACGAACGCGCCACTGGGGCATGGAGGGCCCGACGACGGGCCAAAAAGGCTCCAAGAGGCGCCCAAGACGGTCCAAGAAGGCAACGATTCGCCAAAATAACGGCCGAAGACGACGACGATGGCCTGCAGACGGTTTCCAGACGGCCTCTGGAGCCTTCAAGACACCCCAAGAGGGCCCCAAGATGCGTCCCAAGAAGGCTTCCCCGACTGAAAAATGGCACATTTCCTTCGTAAAGCGTACCTTTTTAACCGCTTCGCCTTTTCTGCTACCCGACGCTCCAAGATGGCCCCCAAGGGCGCTCCAAGACAGCCCCGGAGGCCTCCAAGAGAGCCCCACGACGGCAGAAGAGGGCCCCAAAACGGCCCAAAGGATGCCCAACACACTCCACGAGGACCCCGATACGGGCCCGAGAGGGGGCTCCAAGAAACTCCAAGAGGCCCCAAGAGGCCCCAGGAGCTCCCAGAGCTCCCCAGAGGCCCCAAGGGACCCCCAGGAGGCCCCTTAAGAGGCTCCAGGCACCCACCCGGAGGTCCAAAAGAGGACCCAAGAGGCCCCGACACGGCTTCCAAGACGCCTCTAACCAGCCTCCAGGCAGCTTCCGAGAGGTCAACCGATCCCGATCAACATCCATGACCCCTTCATCGTCGTCGTCCTCGTCGCCGGACTCACAGCGGCCCCGTACCAGCCCCCAAAAACCTTCGACACTGACCCCAAGACACCCGCGGGAGCCCTCCCCGCGAAATTATAACGGAGACCTCCCGAAGTCTTGGTACCCACAACGCAGACACGGCGGGAAGTACGGCGCGGGCCACGAGGCCCTGGCACGGAGCCCGCCCGCAGCGACAATGTCACCGCGAAGAAGCCGATCCACCGCCTCTATACTCCGGCGTGCCCCTGCCGGTCTCTAAGCGTGTCCGATGATTCCCCCCCCCACCCCCGTGACGACCCGAAGCCGGACGGCCCCAGACTGAGCTCCTCCACGGCAGCGCGGGCTCCCCAGGCTTGGCTCGGAGCTTTCGAAGACACATTCACAAAGGTCCAGGAATTCCCAAAATCGCTGAATCATCGGTCGACGGCGCGTAGCATCACCCCAGACGGCCCCAGAATGCGCCAAGACGCTCCAAGAAGCCTCGACCAGGCTTGCGACGAGAGGCCCCGAGAAACCCTCGAGAAGTCCCCAAGTGGGCCCAGGACGCTCCCGACAGGCCAACAAGAGGTTCCAAGCCGGCCGCCTTGTGGCGTCGGAAGTACACGAAGGCAAGCGCACCCATGACGCACAGGGAGAACGCCGCATCAATCCAAATCACCTCACCCACACTGACGAAGCACCCCAACGACACATTTCAAACCGAATCAAACACACGCATCTACACACACACACTCACACACGTGC